TTCGGCGGCGGCGGCGGCGGCGTCCGGCAAAAATTTCAAAATTGGCGGCGGCGAAATCGGCGAATAATAATTTATCGGCGGCGGCGGCGTGGCGCGGCGGCGCAAAGGTCTAAATATGGCGTACGCCATATTATACTAAGCTATACTATATACGCTATAATTCTCCATCTAGTAGGAACCAAAATGGCGGATAAGAATACCTACATATCTAGTGCCTTAGTTTCACTAGGACCGAAAAATGAGATAGACATAACCATCTAGAACCTTTATGATTCATGACAACTCGACGCTGTCTTGTATTGCTTGAGTTAAATTCATTGGGCGGTATTCATAGTCCGTTCTTATATTCAAGATCGTCTTAAGCACGAACTTATATTCGCTCTCTTTGTCAGACACAATCTATGTGTGACGAAGAGAGCGAATATAAGTCCGTGCTTAAGACAATCTTAAATATAAGAACGGACTATGAATACCGACCATTGAATTTGTTGAGTTTATTAAGCAAATTTTATTGTAATAGAAAAATGTCAACTGCAAATCAGTCTATGAAAGAAACAAATAATGTTGGTATGTATGTTGGTATACCTCTTTAATAAATTAATAATAATATAATTAATAATAATAATAAATGACATTTTTCTATTACAATAAAATGTTAACTGCAAATCAGTCTATGAAAGAAACAAATAATGTTGGTATGTATGTTGGTATACCTCTTTAATAGATATAATTATATATATATGTATATAATTATATTTATTAAACTCAACAAATTCAATGAATTTAACTCAAGCAATACAAGACAGCGTTGAGTTGTCATGAATCATAAAGGTTCTAGATGGTTATGTATATCTCATTGTCGGTCCTAGTGAAACTAACTCGAACTTGAATTATCGTAAACACCCCCAGTAACACCACTCTGAAACACAAAGGAGGATGTTAAATATAGGTCGATTTTGGCCCATGGTGTGGAATCAAAAATACAAATGATTTTTTATAGATTTCATACCGTAGAATCACGTGGTAAAGTTTGTTTTCCTCCAGACACCGAGGAAAGTACGGAAAAATTGAAAAAAACCATGAAAAATGGAATTTTCCGAGCTGGTTGAAGCTTGGAACATTCCTGCAGCAATTTTAAAAAAATGATTTGTCGCTCTTGTTCTTTTGCAGGGAGGAAGTTCTGAGGCCCTCACATGACATACAAAAAAGACCGATCCGATACATGCGTCGGAAGACATCCTTATACCCGAAAAACCACCCCAAAATCACTTAAACAATTCTCGCCAAGCTAGAAATGATTTGTCGCTCTTCTCCTTTTGCATAGAGGAAGTTTTGAGGCCTTCACATGACATACAAAAAAACCGAGAGTCGCTGCCCGCGCGTATCGCGCCCATCTTTTTTTGATTAATACTTAAATAATTATTGCGAAAATTGCAAAATGGTAAAGAACTTTTCTGTTCTGTTTAATGTGCTCTATCCGCTCATGAGCGTTGGTCCGTGAGTTACGGGACACCCTGTATATTTGACATATTTATTCTCTATTCATGTTAAAAGTTCATCTGCACATCTCTAGCATAATAATTGTATAACGTAATCAGAAATTATAGAAATTCTTCAAAATCTTTTCCGATAAGTTTACTCTCATCACATTTCTATTTGTGTTCACATTGATTTACACACACTATCATACTGCTGACACGATTTTAACTAGTTCTCCAAAGTTTTAATGTTCGTTGCTCGAACGGCGC